TCTTTTGGAGACTTATAGAGCACAGGGCTGTGAGCTTTTGATGGTGCCCTTGGGTAGGGTTTGGATGCTTTATGACCTTTTATGAGTCCGAGTTGCTCTCTGTCACATTCCCCTCTTTGAAAAACATGTTTCACACTGAGTTGCTTGCAGCAGACAATGTACTCCTTTGGTTTATTTAAAGATGGGGTTCCACTAAATTGATATCATTCACATGTGCTCCTGAAGACTATCATTCGAAACGCGTTGAGCCTACAGGTGGATCTTTTTTGGATGTAAACAATGTGTGAACCAATATAGTAGACATCTTGGGGTTGATTTACTAAAACCAGAGACTGCAACATCTGGTGCAGCTCTGCATAGAAACCAATCGGCTTCCAAGTTTTTTTTTTTTTTTTTTTTTTTTTTGTCAAAGTTTAATTGAACCAGCTGAAGTTAGAAACTGATTGGTTACCATGCACCAAAAGGCCACAAATACTAAGACGGAGGCAGAACTCAGTCCCTTAAACCATGAGAAGACCTAACAAGAATTCTTGCCCATGGGACTTTCAGGAGTTGTGCCCAACAAAATTGATGATACCAGATTTTGCACTCTTCAGTTTTAGTACATCAACCCTTTGTGATATGTGTCTTTTTTAACATTGTGATGTACAATAATTGATGTAGTGTCTCCCTAGCCTATGTGTCCTCAAAATGTAAATTGCTACTTCTTTTTGTTATCATCTGGGGTGAATGAATGGATGAGGGCATGTAGGGCACAGAACCTGTATAAAAAAACTTGAATCTGAGACAAACTGATTATTTTCTCCTTGGGATTTCTTTCGACTTTTTCTGGATTAATGTTATTAAAACATATCAAAATCGATTAAATATGCTGAACTTTGACCTTATTTCAGTTATACTATGCTCGTGTGTTTTTATGCCCCAACCAGTTAATTCCTTTTTCTAACCAACTCTGAGGAAAAATAAGCTCCAACTGTTCTTCTAAACTCAAGAATATTTTATATAACACAAACCAGAGCATACCAATATCGTGATATGCAATACAAATTTTGGAAAAGTAAAGGGATGGAAGCTGCTCAACCGACCCCGGGTGTCTAATGTTAGGGAATGTTAAGGACGTCATAGATGACGAAACGCGTTGGAAGGAGTCGGAACGTGTGACGTCAGCACGCACCGGAGCGTGGCAGCCATCTTGTTGGTTAGAAACTTACCATTTGGTTATATGATGACATGCTGTTTTAAGTTTATCTCGATGTACGTATAATACTACGTTGTAAGGCAAGAAATCCTGCTTATTATACTACACCATGAGGATTCTTTTGCTTTCTTGGATGATCTTATCCTCTTTGAGGATAATTCATTATTTTAGGTTTATATTTGGCCATTTATCTGGAGTATCGTTTTGGGAGCTTATGCCTTGATTTGGGAATCCAGTGACGTCCAATTACATCCAGTGTATGGAGTGCACCGTATCCCCACAAAGTCAGCATTAACAGAGTTCGTCATCCTATTTGGGTATTCATACATGCTTTTTTTTTGACCGTCACTTAATTGTGGGGTCATATATGTCTAGTAAGCGGCAGTATTTTTTGAGGTGCTGGTGATGGTGGATCCTCAAAGTCTCCTTTGTTTTATAATTTGCATTTGTGTATTTTTTGTAATTTTTAAAAAAATGTGTTTTTGAACTGTCATTTGCACTAAATACTTTTTGTTCATTAATATAATTTTTTTGCACATTATTGGACATTATAATTTTTTATGTATTTTTTTAATGGTTATTAGTAGAGATGAGCGAATCGAACCAGGCGAAGTGGAATTCGATACGAATTTCAGGAAAAATTCCGAATATTTGCCTACTTCGGGTGCGCGAATCGGATTTTTCCCGATCAGCCGGCAAAAGTGTCCCTGCAGAGAGCTCCGCTATTTCTGACAGTTCTCTGACAGTTCCTTCACATGTACAGCGGTTGAAACATTGTATCTATTTGTTTCCATTTAGGATACAGATGTTTTTATTCAGAAACAGATGTTTCAAACCGCTGTACATGTGAAGGAGCTGTCAGAGAACTGTCAGAAATAGAGGAACTCTGCAGATACACTTTTTGCCGGTTTGGAATTATTCTTATTTTCATCCTACTTCTTCTTCTTCTTCTTCTTCCTCATCCTCATCCTCATCCTCATCATCTTCTTCTTCTGAGGATGAAGAAGAAGAAGTAGGATGAAAATAAGAATAATTCCAAGCTGGCAAAAAGTGTATCTGCAGAGCTCCGCTATTTCTGACAGTTCTGTGACATTCACTCCATACAGCGGTTGAAACATTGTATCTATTTGTTTCCATAAATGGAACCATTTATGGAAACAAATAGATACAATGTTTCAACCGCTGTATGGAGGGAATGTCACAGAACTGTCAGAAATAGCGGAGCTCTGCAGATACACTTTTTGCCGGCTTGGAATTCTTCTTCTTTCTTCTCATCTTTCTTCTTCTCATCTTTCTTTCTTCTTCTTCTCATCCTTCTTCTTCTTCTCATCCTTCTTCTTCTTCTCATCCTTCTTCTTCTTCTCATCCTTCTTCTTCTTCCTCTCATCCTTCTTCTTCTTCCTCTCATCCTTCTTCTTCTTCCTCTCATCCTTCTTCTTCTTCCTCTCATCCTTCTTCTTCTTCCTCTCATCCTTCTTCTTCTTCCTCTCATTCTTCTTCTTCTTCCTCTCATCCTTCTTCTTCTTCTCTCATCCTTCTTCTTCTTCCTCTCATCCTTCTTCTTCTTCCTCTCATCCTTCTTCTTCTTCCTCTCATCCTTCTTCTTCTTCCTCTCATCCTTCTTCTTCTTCCTCTCATCCTTCTTCTTCTTCCTCTCATCCTTCTTCTTCTTCCTCTCATCCTTCTTCTTCTTCCTCTCATCCTTCTTCTTCTTCCTCTCATCCTTCTTCTTCTTCTCATCCTTCTTCTCATCCTTCTCCTCATCCTTCTCCTCCTTCTTCTCCTCCTTCTTCTCCTCCTTCTTCTCATCCTTCTTCTCATCCTTCTTCTCATCCTTCTTCTCATCCTTCTTCTCATCCTTCTTCTCATCCTTCTTCTCATCCTTCTTCTCATCCTTCTTCTTCTCCTTCTTCTCCTTCTTCTCCTTCTTCTCATCCTTCTCATCCTTCTCATCCTTCTTCTCCTTCTTCTCATCCTTCTCATCCTTCTTCTCCTTCTCCTTCTCCTTCTCATCCTTCTCCTTCTTCTCATCCTTCTCCTTCTCCTTCTCATCCTTCTCCTTCTTCATCCTTCTCTTCCTTCTCATCCTTCTTCTTATCATCCTTCTCCTTCTTCTCCTTCTCCTTTCTCATCCTCCTTCTCATCCTTCCTCATCTCCAAGGGCATTTAAATTAAAGGTACAGTGTTCTGCACTAATTTAAAGGCTCTCTGAAGCCTAGAAACCCTTTTTATAAGTTAACTTCGTAGCGAATTAATTCGCATCGAATCGAATTTCTTCCTGAAATTCGGCGAATCGGCCGAATCGAATTTTTGAATAATTCGCTCATCTCTAGTTATTAGTATTTTTGAATGTATAGCGCTGCACATTTTTGTTTATTTAATGTTAAGGAATGGCCTTAGCCGCCATTCTGGCCACACCCTCTGATGCGTTTCCCACCCACCCACCAGGATTGGTCACAGACCTCTGTGACGAAGCCCTGGCGGGTGGGGCGAAACGTGGTCACTGAGCAAGGTTTGAATGGTAGCTGAGGCCATTCCTTAACATTGGCATCCATCCCTTCACTTGTATTGGCCGACACTGGAATCGCTTGAACCATGTTGCCCTCTTCTTACTTGCTGGTAGGGTGATTTTTTTCCTTCCATCCACAGCTTGGAGCGGTATGCTTTTCACTATGTACAATTTTGGAAGAATTTTTATAAAATAATGTACATATGTTTATGACTTACAAACACTCGGGTCCTGACTGGGTTAATCTGCAGTCTCCATAGTGACAGTTTAACTGATTTTGTGCTCCCGATGAACAGGCAGAAGTACATGTGAGGCTGGTTTTGTTAAAACTAGGAAGAAAAGAACTGGGAATATCCTGCCGGCACGTATGGACACAAATTTCTGAAATCAAAGAACATTTTGTAAGATCAACAAGGCTGTAATCGTGACAATGACAGGGTTGGGACCAGGTCTCTGAGAGCGCATCCACTGATCCATGAGCCAGTATTGTGGGGGCAATTAATGTAAGAGAGCACTGTGATGGGGATACCTGATGTAAAGGGACACTCTGATTCAGATACCTGATGTAAAGGGGCACTCTAATTCAGATACCTTGGCCCTGATTTACTATTGTGCCTGGGCGCATTTTCCGTGGGCGAACGTCTACTGTTTACGAGCGACCGTCTACTTTTACCCTGCAACGAGATTTACTATTGAGCAGTGTCCATAAGTAGATGCCCAATTGAATTTACTAACGAGGCACACGCCCGGAATCAGACTCACAAAGCAGACTTGCTAAGAGGCATGTCTAACACCATGAAAAATCACTGCAGAGACATGTTCACTTTGAAATTTGCTTTGCCAAATATCAGGACTTCACTTTAAACAATATCTGCCATTTCAAAAAAAAATTAAGAATGTGTTAAAAATGGTTTTTTAAAGCAAATCAACACCGTAAAAAACTAGACGCCCGTGCAGTGTCTTTGGCCGATATAAATGCGCATGTGCAGAACACATTTTAGACGTCCTCTGTGGGCGCTTGCTTTTTAGCCACTGTTCAATCGTAAATTTTCAGTGTGGATTCCTCTGACAGCCGGCACTCGGTCGCGTCTAATGTGTTTAACAAACAGCACTCGGCATATATCTTTATGTATTCTAATTTGATTTCCTTAGTTCTAGTGATTCTATTTTTGTTTCTTATCCTTTATAGTTATTTCTGTAACTTATTTCGAAGGTCTAGATAATATTTATTTTGACAGCTGAATGTAAAAATAAAGGTCCGCAATAAAAAAAAAACAAAAAAAAAACAGCATGGGTCCCCCTTTTCATCCATACCAAGCCCTTCAGGTCTGGTATGGAAATATTAAGGGGGAACTCCACGCTGAAATTAAAAAAAAAAAAAAAAAAAAAAAGACAGCGTGGGTCCCCCTCAATATCCATACCAGACCCTTATCCGAGCATGCAGCCTGGCAGGTCAGGAAAGGGGGGTGGACGAGCGAGCGCCCCCCTCCTGAACCATACCAGGCCACATGCCCTCAACATGGGGGGTGCTTTGGGGCAGGGGGGGCTCCCCCCCCCCCCCAAAGCACCTTGTTCCCATGTCGACATGGCTGGAAGCCTCCGACAGGAACTTTCTTTTTTTTTTTTTTTTTTTTTTTTTTTTTTTTTTTTTTTTTCGGGTCGCCGCCGTGATTGACATTGGATCTACTTCGGGGGACATTGTTTTAATAAAGGACTTGTCAAAGACCCTGTACTGTGTTTTTTTTTTTTTTTTTTTTTTTTTTTACACCACACTTTGTTTTTTTGTGAATGAGTCGCGGGACTATGTACCGCAGACTCATTCACGTAGGGGGGGGCCGGGATCTGGGGGCCCCCTTTTTAAAGGGGGCTTCCAGATTCTGATAAGCCCCCCGCCCCGCAGACCCCTACAACCACCGGCCAGGGTTGTGGGGAAGAGGCCCTTGTCCCCATCGACATGGGGGACAAGGTGCTTTGGGGGGGAGCCCCCCTGCCCCAAAGCACCCCCCCATGTTGAGGGCTTGTGGCCTGGTATTGTTCAGGAGGGGGGGCGCGCTCGCTCGTCCCCCCCTTTTCTGACCTACCGGGCTGCATGCTCGGATAAGGGTCTGGTATGGATATTGTGGGGTACTCCACGCTGTTTTTTTTTTTTTTTTTTGAAATTTTCCGCGTGGAGTTACCCCTTAACATCCATACCAGACCTGAAGGGCTTGGTATGGATGAGAGGGGGGACCCCACGCAGTTTTTTTTTTTATTATTTATTTAATTCACGGAAATAATTTAAAATTCAGCTGTCAGTGGGAAACCCCGATGACAGCTGAAACATTCCTTCTGTCCCTGCAGAGAGCTCCGCTATTATATTTGACATTAAAAAGTATAGAGACTGCAACATTGTATCTATTTGTATCCATTTCGGATATAGATGGTTTTATTCGGATACATATAGATACAATGTTGCAAAACCTTTATACTTTTTAATGTCAAATATAATAGCGCAGCTCTCTGCAGGAACAGAAGTAATTACTTCGCTATTATATTTGCCGGCCGTAGACGGAGCGAAAATCGGACAATTTTTTTTACCGTTGGTGGTAACGTCGGCCCATTGAACAACCGATTTTTTTTTTTTTTTTTTTTTTTTTTTTTTTTTTTTTTTTTTTTAAAACAGTCAGTTTTTGACCATCTATGGCCTGCATTTTTCTTTTTCTTCTTTTTCTTCTTTTTTTTTCTTCTTTCATTTTTCTTCTTTTTCTTGCAGGTCATGGCTCATGCACAGATTCTTTATCTGTATAAAGATCAGCTAATTTGCTGATCATTCCAGCTAAAATCGGCCAATTTTTATCCAAATTTACCCATTAAAAAAGTGGCAAAATCCCAAAAAATGGCTGACCAATTAACCCACTAACGGCCCGAAAATCAGCAGATTTTTTTTTTTTCCGCCCAATTTTAGACCCATCTAAAGCAGGCCATAGATGGGTCTAAAATCGACCGATTATTTCTGCCGAAAAAAAAATTGAACGATTTTGGGCCGTTAGTGGGTTAATTGGTCAGCTGTTTTTCGGGATTTTGGCACTTTTTTTTTTTTTTTTTATCAGTAAATTTGGAAAAAAAAACATTTCCAACTTTACTGATAAACAAAAATATGCTAAAATCCCGAAAAATGGCCGACCAATTATCCCACTAACGGAAAAGGCCCTTGTCTCCATTAACATGGGGACAAGGTGCTTTGGGGGGGAGCCCCCCCTGCCCCAAAGCACCCCCCCCATGTTGAGGGCATGTGGCCTGGTATGGTTCAGGAGGGGGGGGGGGCGCTCGCTCGTCCCCCCCCCCCCCCTTTCCTGACCTGCCGGGCTGCATGCTCAGAGAAGGGTCTGCTATGGATTTTGGGGGATCCCCAAGCTGTTTTTTATTTAATTTCGGCGTGGAGTTACCCCTTAATATCCATACAAGACCCGAAGGGCTTGGTGTGGATGGGAGGAGGGACCCCATGCCGTTTTTTTTATTTATTATGGTTCTGATTTTTAAATGTAATTTTCCCTTTTTTTTTTTCTTTTTTTCTTCACTATAGCTCAGAAATTCACCTGTCACTTCCCCTAGCTAATATAGAAAGTTTTCTTGGAATTTATATCCCTAAAGGAAACAATGTTTACTTTGAGTTTATTAAAAGATACAAAGTTTTTCTGTAACTTCGGGGAAAGTGACTTCTAAGCTTGTGAACTATATTATTTTCAATGGATTTTCATTCGTAAACCAAAAATTAAGTTAACCGAGGCGTTGGTAAACTGAGGTACGCCTGTATTAGTATTGCAATCCTTTGTATTGGAATACATAGAACCAACATACATCTGAATTGGCAACATAGCACAACATTTGTGTCACATTTGAGATATCTGACTAGTTACACTGACCTTGCCCAGGGATTTATGATTGATTCACACCACAGAAATACAGGTAGGATTAGTGTTCAACAACTCCATGGATTAGTGGTTAGCACTACTGTCTCACAATGCTAGGGTTGTTGGTTTGAATCCCAACCACAGCAATGCATTTGCATGATCTGTGTGACTACCCTAACATACATGTGCTGGTGGCAGCATCTTTGCTTTCTGTTTAAATGATCCCTAGAATGTGAATTAGAATGATGCCTTGTCTGTTCAAACACCTTTAAAGTAGCACCTTATGTGAATGTCAAATGATGGGATGAGATAAGGGCCTGGACTAATGATTGATTGGATAATGCTGGTTTGCACTCCACCTCCTTTTGGGAAAGTTTGTCAAACCATGAGAAGAGTGAGCGAAAGAAAATGGATTAAAAAAAAAAAATTAAATAATGGCATGTAGTCCCCCCCCCAAATTCATAACGGACCCTTATCTGAGCATGCAGATACCGCATGCCTTCAAAGATTTATTTCCTTTGTTGAATTGCCTGCTTGGTTCACACTAGATGTGATTTAAAAATTGTGCTTTTTGTTGGCAATTTCACAGTGTTTTCTGTAGATTTACCAATGAGTTATTGCGTTTTCAATTGTGTTTTTGCATTGCGATTTCTATTGTAGTCTATATGTGAAATCACTACAAAATGCTGAAAAAGTTAGACGAGAACTACTTTTGAAATTGTACTGCAGCAAATCGCTTATGTTAAGACACATCCACATTCATTAGATCGGATATTGGGTACAATTTCAATTCCCAAATTGCACCTGAAATTGTGCACCCTGGATGCGACTTGGCATGCGATTTGCATGGCATGCAACTTGCAAATCGTATGCCAAGTAGCACCCTATTGTCTGCTATTAGAGCAGTCACATGGGTGCGTTTCCGACACTGATTTCTAAAGTAGTACATGTACTACTTTTGTGACGATTTGCATAGATATCTGTGTCGGATGTCTTGCAAATCGTAAGGAAATCCGCATCTTCACTGTAGGTCGCACAATTTCTAAATCGGCTTTGATGTGACCGCAGTGTAAGGCCTTTTTATGTTTGATTTCCTGAGTGTTTTCCGATTTATGGGAAATGCCGCATACTAGCAAAAGTGAATTGACATTTTCAGTATTGCATGCGAGATGTGGTCATGTGACTGCCTTAACTCATGCGATAATCTGGAGTGAATTGTGCCCATAGGGCCAAGAAATATTGCCAATAGGGTTCCCTTTCACATTCCTGTTCAATGTTCTGTTGTATGCTGTACAGGTACACGTCACTGTGGCTTTCTTTCTGACTCTGATTTGTGGGGCCTGGTTTACGCAGGTGGGAAGAGAATTAATCAGGTGCAAACACTTTCTCTGACCAAATGAATGACAGTGGTGGGGGTGTGGCCTACCTTATATAAGGAGATGCAGTTGTGGCTGATTTTTGCCTTATACAGGCCATGTTATTTTTTGCATGTCCTTGTCTGTGGTGGTTTGGGGAGGAAGAGATATTGTGGTGAATTGCCCCAGGCCACACTGTGTTTTGATGTGGCCTGTAAATGTTTTGCATGTTCTTCCTTCTAAGGTGTGTTTGTGTGTTATTGTACAATGATTGTGTTTTATTACCTTTGCATTGTAATCCTAACACATGTCCATTGCTCTGCTCTTCCAAATTTGCTTTATTTAGAATGAAATGCAGTTTTCAGACAAACATGATGAGAAATGTATTGTGTGGGGGATTTGGGGAGGTTGGAGGTGTTATTTTGGCACGTATGTATTTTTATATTGATATTTCAATCTGCACCTTGTTTTGTGAATAAGCCCAAGTGATATTAACCATTTGTTTCCTGCTGTAACCTGTGAAAGCACAGTTCATTATAAGTATAATCTTTTAGATTGTAAACTCTTATGAGCAATGAAGGAATCGGCCTTTCAGCATTACCATACCGCCATTTTGTCTCTTAGCCTAAGCTCTTCCATTTTAAGATAAGTATCCATTTTAAAACTTAGCCAGTACTTAAAGATGAATTTGTGTTTTAAGACTGTTCTTTACTTTCAATAAGAGCCTAAGGTTCCTCTTTTCCCTTCAGGTGTAACTTCCCTTTTTTTTCTAGCTAGCACAAGACTGAAAGTCTGCGGTTGGATATATCCTGTCGCAAGATTATTAATAATTATAGCCAATGTTAAAATAGGGAAATTGTCTACTTTTCTATACTGAACAAAAGTTCATGTTTGACGCACTTAATAATAATTTACATAAAATGCCAAATGATTGGGCATGACTGACGTATGTAATATCTGATTGGTTTATGCATACCTGACAATTGATTGGTTCTTCTATTTCCATGCATTGTTTTTAAGTTTCATATATAAGTTTAAACACGGAAGAATAAATTCAGTTCCTTCTGAGATACCACCTTGTGTCTGTGTGCATTCCTGTGTCTCAAAGGGGGCTCCAGGCCTGAGGACAGACACTGATCAAGGCCAGGGACTGACTGGGGTCCAGTGGCTCGAAAGGAACGAGAGCCAATTCCTTTCAATTGGGGGCTCGTGTCCGGGATGAGATAATCACCCTTTCGGTAAGTAAGATTTTTTTGTCATTCTGCCAAATAAGTCTCTTGCCATTAAGGCTCTGATTAAAATTTCATGCCCTATTGTAGCACTGGACCTCGCGTCATAAGACGCCAGTGGCCAGGCGCGCAGAGTGCTGTGGGAAGCACAAGGTCTTTTGGAAAGACCGGATCAGTTTTTGGGAACTGCAAGTCTCTTAAGAGAAACCAGAAAAAGTCCGGGGTTGATCAGTTCTGTCCTGCAACTCTTTGCTTTTCTTCCTATCACATAGAAGTATAAGATAATTTGTTTGTGTGACACAAGTGTCCAGGTGGTAAGTGTATGGACCAGCGGTTACTGAAGGTATTGTCAATTTCAGTGTAACACGCCCCACCCCTTCAACTAAGCCTTATTGGTTGATGATCTGGATGGGGTGATTGCGTGACACTGAGTTGGGTGCCAATGTAAATGTCTTGTTCAAATTGTGTTGTAGGCTTATTGTTAGAAAAAGTGGGGAGTTAGTCAGAGTCAGGGATATTATTAGAAGTATTGTATATCCAGGTTATAATCTACACTTTTGGTCAACCACTAGAGAAAAAGACCCAATAAATATCTTAAGTCCAGACATTTTTATAAAGTAAATTGTCATTTGAAGTTGACCCCTGTCTTTTGGGACAGCCTATAGGACAGATGATTTGTAACACAGACCTTTGTAAGTGTAAAAAATGGAAGTGGTCGAAGTAAGGATAAAACTCCACCCCTCCCCCCCCCCCCCCCCCCCCCAAATGTTGGTGAGATATGTAAAGATTATGTAGCCCGTATCTGTGGGACAGATTACTATCAAGTAAACCCCTGGGGTGGATAAATTAGCAGACTGGAGTGAATTCATGGGAAGTGTTGACCCGTTCCCCCATGATGGGAGTAATGATACTTTTCATATGGATATGATTAGGGTCTCTGGTCTGGGGGATAAACAGGCTTTTCCATGGTATGAGGAGATCCTGCATGGGATCAAGAAATAATGGCCAGAGGAGGACAAAATTGGTTAGAATTTGCCCCTCTCTGTTTCATAGACAAACTGGGAAACAAAATAAAGCCAAAAGAAGCTAGAAATGTAGATGCCACTAAAAGACATGCATTAGAGTCAGAAATAGACAGACCCACACACCCTCTCATGCCATTCCCTCCCCCATATGTCCCACCTGTACCCCACAGCCCACAACAACTTTATCCATCTCTTACTGAAGAAGATATTGATTTTTTTAGCCGGACCATTATGCAGTCCGGCACCCCACTGCACCTCCAGCACCAATACTTCCACAGACCCCTCAGATACCTATTGCTGTACACATTTCTACCACACCAGCCTAGTACAGTTCAAACATGTCCCGCGCCCTCCCAGGGTGTGGTCCAAATTCCTACCCACACAGGGAGCGACAGGGGAATAGCTGTTTCTTCACAACTACTGAAGCAGATGACGTCACCTTGTTGATGAATCCGCTAGTTTCAGGCTCATCTGCTGTTCAGAGCGCTAATAGTCTATGTATATGTGGACATGCTAAGTTTCCATCACACACACGCCATAATACCCAATATGGTATTGATTCCAATACACAACATATGCCCTTCATGACAATAGGAGACAATCTATTAAAGAAACCCATTGAGATAGAAGACAAAAATAGGATTGTTGCAAACATTGTCCAAGACCCACTGTTTCTTCAACGGCTACTGTGAGCTATTGAAGAAAGCATGTAAAGGTAGAAAT